TTTCCAGAGCTTTCTCACTCCCTGATGGAGTGTATTATTTTGTGTATTATGGACATGTATTATTTTGAACAAAATCTTTACCAAGTGATCCTTAATATATCACCAGTTTGCCTGATCCATTTTTTTTACTAATGAGCTTATCAGTGTTCCTGAAATGGCTGATGAAATGTGAATGTAGCAGTAGGTGTTGTTTAAGGACTGCTTAGCATTATGATAGCAGTAGATATGTCCTTGGACGTTACTTGCACATTAATCTCTTCATATTAGTCACACTGGTAGAGTATGACTAGCCTAACTGCAGGCATTCACTTGGTTGTGAAAAACACAAGAAGGGGCTCCATCACACTGCATTTGACTTGGGCAAATATCCTGCTAACCTGGTGTCTTATACAATATACAGGCAGAGAAAAGCACATTCTTGGAGACAGAACATCCCTGGAATTGTTTTAAAGCATTTAAACATCTTGGCCATCATGTTCCATTTAAATCAAATATGCAAATGAAATTTGAAGACTACCAAAGCACTGATTCTTTTTTCTTCCTCTTAATAAGAGGTCTTCAGCTACTGAGAATTATTCCTTTTTAAAAATTTGTTAAGAAGAGGCAAAGTCTGATTAACCCCAGCCAAAGTTATTTTAATGACTTTGATAGAAATTAAGACTTAGTGTGTTTAGAAGATTGAGGGTTTCATGGTTTCTATTCATGACATAGTAATTGCATGATGATAGCCCCTCTGGAGAGAGCCATTCTCATGCTCACATGCAAACCTGTACTTTAAAAGCATTAAAATCAGACTTGTGCTCTTAAATGGCATTAACTGGCACTATGAGTAACAGCTCTGCTAATTACCTAGTTTGGATACGCTGTATTAGTGCATAACAGTTGAGTTTACATGTTTCCTTGCACTTTTTCAGGGAAAAATACCTATAAACAATGCAAAAATATCTCAGGTTCTTCTCACGGAAACCCCACTCAAAAAATTGAAAATTCACTGTGACTTTAGTGAAAAACACAGCACCGAATCCCCAATAATCTCAAAAAATATTATCACTTTTTATTCATTCTTTTGAGAGAAAACTTTGATATTACTAATCAGAATGCATTGTAATCGACAAGCATTTATCTTACTTTGGAGTTGTTCATCTGTTTTTGACCCTACAGTCTCAGAAGCCCTGAATCATTACTGGTTTTGTTCTTGATGAATATATTTACGTAAACATCTCTACAAAAACAATTCTACTCTCATTGCAGAGCAATATGGGGAGAAGAGAATTATAGAATAAGGCTGTACATAAATTAGTCTGTGAAAAACAACCTCAATTAAATACAAACTGTGCTGGATGCTTTGTGACAAAACACTTTCTCAGAGCTCAGAGCATATCTCAGTACTCTCTGCTATCATTATGTAATGCTTCCTTGATGGCAAGATTCATTGCTGATTGACCTAGAGAAAAGATATTGCTGAAATAAACCCTACAAACAGATCTCCACATTGAACTTCCTTAGTTCCTTCAGCCTACTGTGGCTGTTTGTACATTAATTTTGTTCCAGTCCTCCTCTGCAAGAAGAGTTCTCCAGCCTTGTAGCAAAAGGGAATCCTCTATTTCTACACATGACTGAAGAGTCACAAGTTTAAAGCTTCACTTATTGCAAATGAGGGCACACCTGAAGCCCAAGTCCATGTCTTTTGGAATGTGCTGAATGTTCCTTCTTTCTATGGAAGTAAACAAAGGTTGACAGGTTCACTGACCTGGGTTTGTTTAGTCTCTTTTTTCATGTAATTAGTGATAGAACTAGAAGGAATGGCCTCAAGTTATGCTAGGGGAGATTCAGGTTAGATATGAGGAAAAATTTATTCTCCAAAAGAGTGGTCAGGAACTGGAATGGGCTGCCCAGAGAGGTGTTTGAGTCACCATCTGCAGAAGTGTTCAAGAAACGTTTAGATGTTGTGCTAATGGATGTGATTTCGTGAGGAAGTATTGGTAGCTGCTGTACAGCTTATCTGGATGATCTTGGAGGTCTTTTCCAACTTTGATTCCCTGATTTTAAGTGCCACTGACCACTGGCAAAGTAAGTGCTCATGAGAAGTATTTCTCTGTGCTCTCTGGAATTTTACAAGGTGGTTTTATCTGATCACATTGGTTCTACAGCAGCATAAACCTTCTATAATTTATACCTAAAATAAAGCATTTTCCTAAATGCTTTACTATAGCAAACTATATAAAAGACTATAACAAAATTGTCAGTGATGAATACTAATTGAGACCAAAGCTATCTACAGCAAATTTCTGAGAAACTCCATTTACTACTTAAAAATCTGTAAATCACTGTATATGTGTAAATTGCTATATGTGATGTGTCAGAAGTACTGGGGGCCTATGCATGATAAGAGCAATGGTTCAAAGCAGAACAGAATGTCTGTGCAGCAGGAGCCTTGAGTTCTAGTTAGCAAAGAATCTCAGTTAAATGCTACCCATTTACAGGCTCCATTGAAAAGAAAATATATTAGAGAGTTCAGAGCTCAGTGTTGCTAATTCTTGATTGGCAGGAGGCATTTTAAAATAAGGGTGGAATCAAAACAAAAGGTTTCAGCCGAGCTTGAAATGACTGCCCTGTGTGTAGAAAGGTTTACTTGATACCACCGGAGGGTCATTTCTTCTATGTGTTATGTCTTAGTGACACTTTCATGTTCTATCAACCCAATCTCTATAATTGGTTGCTAGACTGAATCCTAATGTCAAACAAACTCAGTCCTGTGCACTTTGCTACTCCCTGTTAACCAATAAAGCTCACAAAACACACCTTAACCCTCTTCCCAGTTTCCATCCTCGAGACTCTTGACACTTGGGAATCAGTTTTTCATTCACACTATCATCTTTTGATACAACAATTATTTTTTTCCACTCTTGGGGAATGAATTACTCTCCCTCTTGAAAAATCTGGATTTTTTCTTCAACTAAGAACTGTTCCTCATAGCTTGTCTCCAATCTGGAGATGCTATCGTAGAGACTTATTTTTTATGTGGAGGACATCTGACGTTATATTTTCTATATAAATTCAAATTTGCCCTTAGTGCGAAGGAAACTGTTGATTCACAAATTCAGTGATGCTTAAAATAATTTTAAAAATGTCTTGTCTGTCATCCAGCATAGTTTGAATGGATCGGCTGAGGCTGAAGAATATATAAAACAACAGAACTTTACAGCTTATGATGTGATATAGCTTCTAATGGTACTTTAGGCTCCCTGACTTCTTCTGATGTGGGGTTTCTTGCAAAAGGTATAGACACCAAGCTTTGCACCTTATTTTGAGTGTCATGTGACCCTACAGCAATCCCCTTCATTTCAAGCTGAATATATACAGATATCAAAATCTGTAGCAGGGTTTGGACTCCTTGATGTGTTGTTGTTCCAGCCACTATATCTAACAATCCCAGTCTCTGTTCTAAGCCATTTTTTATCTGCAAGCTAAATAAGAGTCACAGATATCACCTATATTTTACCGTTTGTAATTACTAGCAGCTAGTTCCTTTAATCTGTGGTTTATCTGGTCATTTCCCTCGTTGTTGTTTCAGAAGCTTTCCATGATGCTAATAACAGATCACGAATCTATGAAAAATTGGGTTAAAATATGTCCAGGTTAGCAATTAGAACTGGCCTACCTTTACTGATGTAAGTGTAAATATCCATGAAGAGGAAGAAAGCTTGATTGCCCAAGGTCAGGTAGAACGTGTAAACAAACTACTGAGATTTCTTGGGACTCCGTGTTTTTGTCTTGTAAATCTTTGTAGCTGCGCCACATTAAATCTGTATTGATTCTAATTACTGACATTACTAGGGCAAACAAGGACAGGCTTTTGTTTCTCTGAGTCAGATTCGTCAGTCTTAACTCAGGTAAGACTTCCATTGATCCTGAGAATCTAGGCTCTGCAAAGATGCCAAAAAAGCTCGAAGAAGGAACAGCTTCAACGGCTGTTGATTGCTATTCGAAATAGCCTCTTTAGATTTCTGAGCTATTAACAAAAAGAAGGCACCTGTAAACTCACAGACAATGCATATCCCACTTCAATACATACATTGCATTCTGGGTTCGTTTATCAATGGAGGGTTATCTCAGTTACAAAGGATCTGTAATGTAGATATCTGTCTAAAAGGCATTCACCTTGGAGAGAGTATTTTTGCCATAGCTCCCCTCTTTCTCAAACAAATACAGGCCAGCTTTCTTCCCAAGCAAAGTGTCTCCATCAGCCTATGCCTACCTTTGATGTTGCACACTTCTGAGAAGAGATAAAGGTATATACTGCTGATTTTAGTATCCATTTACACTTAGTTTGTTATGGTTTTGAAGACTGGCACTAGGACCTTTGCTGTGTCGTCGACCGATGAGCCTGGGGCATTAAGAATGGATGTGAAAGCGTCATGTGTCTTGAATACTCAGCGGATCTAATTAACAGGTAGAATCGCACCCTGGGTGCTTGAAAAATGGCCAGACACCATAGAAACCAGTCCTTAAGTCCCCGCACCATCTGCACTTTCTTTTCATTGTGCAAGTCTCATGGAAACGTGTGTTTTCGACCATTCTACGTTCGTTTGCGTTAATGGAAAATTCCTGCCGATGGTTTTCTTTTTTCACAGGAGAAAAAAAACAAAAATTCTTTCGGGGAAGAAAATAATGATCTCTCAGGCTTTGAGGAAACAATGAATCTTTGAACTTGCCTCTGAATGCGGCTCTTTAGAACAGCGCTGCCACAACCTCCCCGAGCTAATTTGAACGAGAAAATAACGAGAAAAGAAAAAAAAATACGCCGAGATCCCTCGCGAAACCAGCGAGCAGTTTGGGAGGGAGGGTGGAAACAGCCACTTCTCCTGGTTTCCTACTTTCCTTCTTTAGAGCTCCTACATCCCGGCCGGGCGGAGGTTTTTTCGGGGCCGCTCCGGGCCAGGAGCCGCCCCTTTGTCCGCCCCCGTGCATGAAACTGAGGAGATTTAGGTCGTCGTTACCTGTTGGCTGCCAGTCGGGACGAGATATACCCTCCAGGGATCTGGGTGATAATGTAGCCCCAGAAAAACGAGCCGTGGATCATGCCAACCGTCTCAGGATCCCAGTTAAACTTCGCTTTCTTCCAGAGCCAAGGAACCGGGGAGAGAAAGAAAGAAAGAGAAGAGGAAAGCTGTAATCGTGCTGGATTAAAGAAAGTTCCCGTAAAAAGCTTCACCGTGCCGGTCGAGGCCAGCGATGGCACCCGGGACAAGGAGCTCCTGCTGCCTCCCCTTCCGACTGGATCCTCACCGCACCCACACTGGCCACCCCCCGGATGGAAGAGCAGCAGAATCGTGCAGACCCCCCCGGCAGGGATGACCGTGGGCTCGCTGTCCCGTTACTCGTCTAGGTGTCACACAGCCTCTCGCCCGCTACGCTCTAAGCAGATTTAACACGGCATTTAACGCCTTTTCAATGCAAATTCTTTCATCCTGCTTTATCAAACATTCCTGCATAACCTCCCCGTTTACGTTTCACCCTTTTACAGTCGGTTTATTCGGTGTGTTCCTTTCCCTATATTTATTTCACGAGATAGCTGCGTTTTCCTACATGATGTGCAAAAGGAAAACGTATCTGCCCGCTCGTTTTAGCCCCAAACGGCTTTGCGCTGGGAACTACAATTGAAAAATAGAAATAATTGGCAGAAATGATTTATCTTTCCCCAACGAAAGTTTCGGGCTACGAAGGGCGGCGGGAGGCGGGCAGAGCCGAGGGGCGGCACGGGAGCATCCTTGCGGCGGTGCCCGGCTGCCTGCGCTGAGGTGCCTGGTCTGAAGCTGGGAAGTGCACCGAGAGGGCATGAGAGTTACGAGGGAAGGATTCCCACCTCTTTAATAATTTTTCCTCCTCGGTGTATGGTGCTGTTATTGACCATGTCCACGATGGCCACTCCCAAGTTACATCGGATCCCGAAGGAAATGCAGAATCCCAGTCCACTCATGATGGCAATGATGTACCTCCGGGGCAGCCCGAAGCAGGTACAGTCGCAAAGCGGGGCTTTCTTCTCGGGCATTTCCATGGGCTTCCCATCTTCCGTCAATTCGATGGTGTCCCCGGGCTTCTGCCTCTTCTCTAGGACTCTGACCGACACAAGAAGGGAAAGTCAAGCCCTGCCTCCCCACTGCCTGAATGCGCAGCCACCTCGGGTAGCTGAAGGCTTAAGTTCACAGCCCCCCCCCGCCCCTTCGGCTTGCTTTGGATGTTTACTCCTTGTTTTCCGTTCACCTTCACTTGTTCTTCAGCTGTGACCTGTGGGAGTCACGATTAGTCATGCCCAGCTCCCTTCCGCCCCGCGACAGCCCGCTGCAGAAACCCAGGGAGGAGCTTTAGCTGAGAATTGCTCATCTATCATTAAAGACTTCTGCGTAAATATGTAGGACACATTAAGAAGACATCATCTGTAGCCACTGCGGAGGCGCCATGTTGGGCAGCCCAAGAAGTTGAGCACGGAAACTGGAACGGTGCTCTGGAGAAGGGTTTATTCTCCCTCTGCCGTATAGAAACACCAAGGGGGAACGAGCTCTGCGTGCATTTTGCTTCTGGATTGGGAACAATAGAAAGAGTACCAGAAAGGGTGGGGCGGCGGTATTGCTACTTATTTTCGATTTGCAAAATGGCTGGCACATGCAGTGGGAAATAAATAAATAAATGACTGTCTTTAGAGAACTGACGACTTTGGGGAAGCCTTTGTAAAGATCGTATCTACTCAGCTAGGGTTAGGTTTCTTTCCTAACTCAGCTCTGAGCTCGATCTCACCGTTCGCACTTCCTTGGTTTTACACAGGAATCCTATCAGACTGAGAAATCAATGTGCAGGAATCTGGAGGGTGCTGGCCATTTGAAGCTATGTCGAATCAACAGAAAAAAATACCGAATTATGCTCCTCCTTCTCCCCTTAAAAAAAAAAAAAAAAAAAAAAAAAAAAATTCCCCCCTACCCACCCCTCATGCCACAAAAAATAAAAAAAATAAAAAAAATATCCCAACCCCGCAAAAGATTACTTAGCAAATTCTATCTCTTCTTTGGTGTAAATCTTTAAAAATACCGAGTGGATAATAAAAGATATCGGATGTATCAAGCTGATGCTCCATGCTGAATGTCTGAATCTTCTTTTGCAGCAAGCGAGATATTGAAAAGACAGAAATATTAACGGCTTTCATCCTAACTCCGTTCTTACCCAGGAGCGAGTGCTACATTTCCCGACATTGGGCTCTCTCCTGCCACTGCCTTAACCCCCGCCTTAGGAGTGTCTTCTCACCTCAGACATTCTCTTCGGAGGAGCTGCTCTTTGAGGTTAACTCATCCGGCTAATAGGGCGCTAACAATTAGCAGAATTAGGCTCAGATTGTTGCCTGTGCTTTGAAGCAAATGGGAGACTTTATCCCGTGGTTACTCGGTTGAAATCCTAACGATTTTTATTTGCCGGGAGAATTATTTCCGTGCTTTAATTCTGCATCGTTTCTTATTGTCTTAAATTGCGAACACAAGAAAATCCCCCGGTTTTTTTTTGTTAAAAATTCGTTTGTGCGAATAAGAAGATGCACGAATGTCTTCCCATTAAACGGGAATATCTTCCGGAAGACGTTAACATATAAGGGAGGTGAAAAGTATTTGAATTCCTAGAATCGGAAATAAAATAGGTCAATCCTATGCCTTGGAGAAAAAAAAAAACAACAAACCAAACAAAACAGAAAAAAAAATGAAAGAGGTAACTGGATAATTTATTAATTAATGGAGAGTTCAAACCGAGTTTTACTGGAAAATACAAATGCTTTCTCCATTACTCACTGTATGATAATACAAAAAGCAGTAGAGACCGTTGTTTCATTTATGTTTTGTGGAATCCCTTAGGGGAAAAATAAGAAGTTTATTTCCTTAAGGACATTTTGAAGCAGTTACTCCGGATTGTCAATTAGTCCTTTTTATTTTTTCTCAGAATTTAAGATGATATAAATGCAGGATATTTACTACATCGCTGTTGGCTTCGGTTTTGCTTTTTTGCTTTTCAAAGCTGTACTCTTTCCACTAAAATGAAAATTTCACTTTTGTCTTATCATTTCAGTAACAGTTCCCTTAAAATGGCAGCAGAAGTTGTGATTCATGCTGTGGAAGAACCTTGTGCTTGTGCCCAATACTGCCGCATAGGCACGGAAAAAAAAGACTTCTACATGACCTACAGTAGACAGATAAATCCGCAGTTAGCTTTAATCCGCAATTCGAAACAACACTGGGATAAGTGTTGGCACACGAGAAGATCCAAAATACATTGGAATTTCACAGGCTATACTCAAACGTCCTAGAGGTCACTAAAGTCACTAGCTTGGATGGGGCACGATGTGTCAACTTTAGTACATACCCTTTTAAATATGCGTGGATTTGTGTCTGTTTTCTGTCTATACAGATCATGAAGATGGTGGAAATTTGTACACACAGGAACATGCAGGCATGCCTGTGAGTTTAGCAGTTACAGTCGTATATCACTTATAAGACAAGTGGATGCTTCTCAGTGCAGACAGATAAATAATTAAACACATCCCTCCATACGTTTCAGCCTCAGAATTTAAAAAAAAAAAAAAATCATTTGGACATCAATTATTTATACATATCCTTGTTTATCTTCCTCTGACGGTGGATTACACAAGGGCTAAGACTAATCAAATCTCAGAAAGATTATTATTACTGAATTATTACTATTATTTAAGTATTAGTGAAAGCAGTGATAAAGGTCTTGTGAGCACGTTTCAGAATTAATAAAAAGCAAAGACAAGGGGAGCAGCTCTGTGCTGAGTATGGTTTCTAGATGGGATCCTGTTTTTGTGTGAGAAAGATGGGGTAATCTTTGGCTACATATTCACTGGCAGCATCCACGAATCAGATAGAGAAGTTACAAGGGTGCCATATTGAGAAGCTTCAGCAATAGTTTCCAGTATCCAGATTACACCGGTGATATATAAACAGCTCCCAACCTCTCCACCACTAAGCTCCCCAGAGCACACCTATTCCACCTCGACCAGCAGCTCACGATTAACAAAAGCTTTCAATTGTTTCTAAGAACTAGAGTTCTCTAATATATTTTAGTCTTACCTGTAGAGTTGACCAAGAGATTTTCCGGCAAAATTTTTCAATCCCTCCTTGCCAGGGGTCAAAATCCTTTGTTTTACCGACTCCATTCCTGCAGTGATGCTCGCTGGATTCTGCTCTGCTCTGGATAGGGCACTGCTACGAGCAACGATGGTTCATATTGGTTTAATCCCTTAACTTTTTCCCGTCATTAAATGGCTATCAGTGCAGCTCCGAGTAAAGGGAGAGTGAGAGAAAGCGTGCGCGCGTGTTTGAGAGGGGGAGAGACGGCGTGCAGAGCCTGGGGGGGGGGAGGAGGGGGAAGAGGGCGACGGAGCGCGCCTGTGTGCGGCAGCGAGAGGGAGGCTGAGCGCTGCAGGCAGCCCCCGGCTTTCCCAGCAGCGCGGAGCTGCGAGGCACGGTCAGAAAGTCTTCTCGGCCCCGTAAGCTTCAGCGGTGGCGGGCTCGGAGTGTGCCATAGCCGGCTGGGAGGGGGTGGAGTGCCCCCCGCGGGAGCGTTGCAGAGGAATCGTGGTTTGGTGCCGGAGGTTTCCCCGGCTGTAGAACGGAGGGGGAGGGGTGCGATTAGTCCCGGTAGGCAGTGAGCAGCGCGCCCGAAGCTGAAGCGGTCGGAGGGCTCTTGGAGCGCCGGTCCGCTCCGCTCTGCTGTCGCCCGCCCACGTACGCAGGTCGCGCCCTAAGGCGGCGGCGAGCGGCACCTCAGCGCCTTTCAGCACCTCGGTCAGCGCCGCGTCCCACCCTCTCCGTTCTCTTCAGCACCGCGGACAGCGCCCGGCCCCGGGCAGCCACTGGACGGGGCCTCGGGGCGCCGCTGGGCGAGCGTGGCTGAGGCCGAGGTGGGGGGAAAGGACCGGGCCTTCCTGCTGTCAGCTGCACTGCTGGGGAAACGGGGCATTTGCTGCAAATCATAGAATCATAGAATGGCCTGGGTTGAAAAGGACCACAATGATCATCCAGTTTCAATCCCTCGGCTACGTGCAGGGTTGCCAACCACCAGACCGGGTTGCCTGGAGCCACATCCAGCCTGGCCTTGAATGCATCCAAGGATGGGGCTACAAATAGTATAGCTCTTGCTACAAATAGCATATATATTTATCTCTTGCTGCATATGGACTTCCAGGGCTTATTTCCTGTCATATTAGCAATCATTTTCTATTAAATGCTTAATAGTTTAATACTGTTTATGCCCTCTGCATTTGTGTATTATAATAGGCCCATGTGACATTTAGACCCCTTTGGCAGTGTATATAGTACAGGAATGAGCTTGGCACCTTCAGATAACAGAGTTACTTTCCTTTTCAGGATCTAGCTGCAATTTTCCAACTGTTATCATTTCACAGTAGATTTTACATACAAAACATTTTATTTCTCTTAAGACTCTTGCTAATCTTAAAGCCCCTGTAGACTTGTTAATTACAAAAACAAACGAACAAAAACTTGTGATCTAAATGATTTCTTCTAAAATTATTGATCTCCTTTACTTACTTAGCCAGTGAGAAAATTTGGCTTCCTGTTGAAAATGTATGTTGTAGCCACAGTATCCTAAAAGCAACTGCTCTTTGGATTTATATCAACATTTGTTTCCAATGTTGCCCTCTGGTGTTGGGTTAGTGAAGTTTTACAGCAATGGAATTCATAAATGAAAAGCTAATTATTTTAATGCTGTAATTCCAGCAATGACTGATCTGTAGAATTCAAATATTTCTTCTAAAAGTTGTAAAAGGACCATGAAATATTACAGTAGCAAATAAAACTACATGTAATTGAAACATTTCTAACTAGCATCACAACACAAAGCTGATTTCTATGTTACAGCATGTACTGAACATGGTTTTCAGCATATGGTTCCACATAGAATCATCATTCCCATTGCACTGCTGAAAGGATATTTTCCTGTACATGCAAACCTAGATAGTTATATAAGCAACAGTGTGCTATTGCAAATGCTCAAAGGAAACCTATATACAGAAAGGGATGGGAGAAGCATTTAGTAGAGAAGAAATAAGATTGAATTCCACAAAGAAAGCCTTTATAAAAAGTGATGAGTGCTTTTTTCTTTTTTTTTTCTTTTCTTTTCTTTTTTTTTTTTTTTCCTTTCAGAATTTGAGGAATTGTGATATCTGTATGGCAAGGGTATTCTGTTTATTTACACACTACAAGCAAGAAGAGGCTCTGGCCCTGATTTAGAAAGCTCAGAAGTGTTGTTTCTATGGCTCAATGTAGCAACATGAATTTACATCAAAATCATAGCATTTCTTAAGGAAACAATATCTGATATTGGAAAGAGAATTTCTTGTACAACACAACATGAGCATGGATTTAAGGGTTAGATAAAACATTCCTGAGTGTTTTCCAAGAGAGAGTAAGTTACTCATTGTGTCATATACCCATAATAGCAAACTATGGTGGGATAATGAAAAACTATTGTGAATAGGCTGCTGATGTGAGCATTCAGAGTAGAAATTTTATGTCTATCACATCCTATATGCTGATACTCTTGAGCTACATCCTGACCAAACTCAGCTCTTACTGTTTCAGATTGAGAATTGATAGGAAAGGATAGGATAGGATAGGATAGGATAGGATAGGATAGGATAGGATAGGATAGGATAGGATAGGATAGGATAGGATAGGATAG